AATGAGCTTAGAAACATTTGCGGTGAACGATTCCTGGACCGCTTTCGTCGTATTCTTCCTTTGAGATCCACATTTGTTGGAAAGTGGACAATGAAGCCAAGATTGAACCACCGATCCATACGGAGTATTTACGTTCTGGTGGAGCGATGATCTTGATTTTGATGGTTGATGGTGCCAATGAGGTGATTTCCTTTTGCATACGATCGGCAATACCTGGGTACATGGTGGTACCACCTGACATGACGATGTTAGCGTACAAGTCCTTACGGATATCAACATCGCACTTCATGATTGAGTTGTAGACAGTTTCGTGAATACCGCATGATTCCATACCCAAGAATGATGGTTGGAACAATGATTCTGGGCAACGGAAACGTTCATTACCGATGGTGATGACTTGTCCATCAGGCAATTCGTATGATTTTTCGAGTGAGGTTGAAGCGGCAGCGGTGGCCATTTCTTGTTCGAAGTCGAGTGCAACATATGACAATTTTTCCTTGATGTCACGAACAATTTCACGTTCGGCGGTGGTTGTGAATGAGTAACCACGTTCGGTGAGGATTTTCATGAGGTAATCAGTCAAGTCACGACCGGCCAAATCCAAACGGAGGATGGCATGTGGCAAGGCATAACCTTCGTAGATTGGGACGGTGTGTGAGACACCATCACCAGAGTCCAAAACGATACCGGTGGTACGACCCGAAGCGTACAATGAGAGGACAGCTTGGATGGCAACGTACATGGCTGGAGCGTTGAAGGTTTCAAACATGATTTGGGTCATCTTTTCACGATTGGCTTTTGGATTCAATGGGGCTTCGGTCAAGAGAACTGGATGTTCTTCTGGGGCGACACGCAATTCATTGTAGAAGGTGTGATGCCAGATCTTTTCCATATCATCCCAGTTGGTGATGATACCGTGCTCAATTGGGTATTTCAAAGTCAAGATACCTCTCTTGCTTTGAGCTTCATCACCGACGTATGAGTCTTTTTGTCCCATACCGACCATGACACCTTGATGTCTTGGGCGACCGACAATTGATGGGAAGACGGCACGTGGAGCATC